TGTTTATGTTTCTTTTTGTTTTATTTTTTTTTTAATCCTACATTCTTGTTAACCTTAAATCCTAATAAGGGCCTATTTCGTGTACTCTGTTTTTTTTTAACGTGTTTTTTTTCGTTTTCTTTAATTTGAACTTTTTAGATACATTTTAAGGGAGATAAGTAGCACACTATTTGTCTGAAACACGCATTGGAGGGTGGCTGTTGGATAGGTTAGGAGACAAACATTTATATAAAAAAATAGTTCAAAAATACATTCGTTATTGCATACAATTGTGTAAGTTTGTATAGGCTATGTGAGGCTGAGGTTATAATTATACATAAAAAATTTCTGAAATTTGTATTATGATTACCAAATGGTCGGTATGAAATGTCGGTACAGGTCCACTTTTTGGAATTTTCCCTATATTTTCATTTCAAGTACTTGTCAGTATATCTATGGTTTATATTAAAATAGTTAACTGATTTGTTCTGGTTTTTTGGGTTTCCTCCATATACTCGTATTCCACTATAGTATGGGGGATATGACTTACTCGAAATTGTCCGTTTATACCCTACATAGTATGGAATTTTAAGATGATTTACTCGATTTATCATTCTTCTTCAATACGCTATGCTTAATTTCGTGCAAATCGAAAGATATATAGGGACTTTGGTACACCATTTACAATAAATCGGACGAAAATAAATATGGGAGCTATATCTAAATCTGAACGATTTCCACGAAACTTATAACACATCATTCCAAACTTATTTTTGTCCGCTATGCCAAATTTCATGCAAACTGAAAGATTTGCCCATGTAGACAGACGGACGGACATGCAAAAATCGATTCAGATTATATCAATAATTGGGCATAACCCTTAATTAGGCATAACCCTTCGTATTATAAAAACGCCAAATATTAGCTAATTCCTATACAATGTTGTCAATATTGGCCCCGCTTTAGGTATGCCTCATATAACTTTGTCCTCTAAATTGCAGTATTTTGAGGATTTTATACAAATGTTTCACCCTATCATGCGTTCATAATATTGGTTAACATTTTAGGGTTTTGAGTTTTTAGGAAAACCCCCAACGAAATTGCTAAAATTTGTATTTGGTCTACATTATGGGTTGCAATATGCAATATGCAACCCAATATGCAATATGCAATATGTTCCCCATATTTTCATTTCACGCAACTGTACGTATTCCTATGGTGGAGCGTATCAAAAGTTCGGCCCGGCCGAACTTAATGCTTTTTTCACTTGTTTTTCATTTGTACTTTTTTGTCAAAATAGACACGTAGAAGCTAAGAATATCTTCTACGATGAATACTCGTAAATCTAACATGAATAGTAGATAGAGTTTTCGTTAGAAATAAAATTGCAACTTTTCGCTTTGAGGGACCCACTCATTCTCGATTTGAAATTTCGTCTACAAATTGAATTTGCATCATATTGAAGATTTGTAACTTTGCATATATACATGTGTATTTGAGTGCTTAAAGAATAAGAAAATTAATTGACACAATTTTGTTGTTGTTTTGGAGTAGTTTTTTTTTTGTAATTAAAGAAAATTCTTTCTTTTTGACTGCGGACAAAATTTCCGACCACTGGAACATTCAAGTACAAAACGTCAAACGTTATTCGAAAGATTACATGCCTGACTCTGATATGAATCAGGATTATTATCCTTCCTTTTTTCTTTTTTCGACCACAAACCAAGTTAGAAAACATGTTAAATCGATTTTAAGTTTTTATAAGCTCCATGAGGTCGAAATTCAAAATATCTAATATTAATGGGGGATTCCTAGGAGAAAACTCATTTTATGATAGGACTCATTTTATGAAAAAGACGTGAGAACAAATTGATTAAAATTCTGAAATTACCAAATAGTGGGGTTTCCGTTATATGGGGCTATAAAAAACGGATATCGATATTGATTAGTTTTGATAGTGAGATTTCAAAGCCAATGAGAACACAAAATACTCAATTACAGAAAAATTGAAATACGTGTCTAAAATTCCCAAAATACCGACTTTGGACAGTATTAATAATTTTAGTACGTAGATGTGGGGGTTCCGTTATATTGGGGCTACCCTTAAACTTGGGTCAATATTAATAATTTTTATTACGAGGATGAGCTATGCAATGATAACCCAAACTACCAAATTACAGCTAATTTGAATTAAAAACGTTTCCGAAATTCCGAATATTGGAGCACCGTTATATGACGACGACCCTGAAACTTGGTTTAATATTATAAACTTTTGGTATAATGTGAACCCAAAATACAGAGTAACACCTAATTCGGTTGTGAAACGAACACGAAAAGCATAAAAATACCGAATACTTGGGGGTACCCTGAAACATTGGTCAATATTAATAAATATTTTTTGCAGTTAAATTGGACACGCAATGAATATTGGTTTCAGGGTACGGTACCGCCCCTGAAACTTGTGTCAATATTAATCATTTTTGAGACGTCCATGTTTTTTACATTGAGAACTTAATTCTTAAGTAAAAGCCAATTTGGTTGAAAAACGTGTACAAAATTCCCAAAAATTCTGGGGCAACCCAGAAACTTGGGTCAATATTAATATTTTTTGGTACGGATATGTGTTATACAATGATATTGCAAAATGCCAAATTACACCCAATTCGGTTGAAAATATGTCCAAAATCCCAAAAATGTATAATACTGACCGTTATATCCCATTTACCATACCGAACATCCTAGAAGTATTAGCAATGCCTGTGAAAACTTTCAGAGCTCTATCTTAAACATTTCTGTCTCTATCGCGGTTTAAACAAACAGACAGAAAGGCATGCGTAAATTGACAATGAATTTTATTGCGACTGTGTTCTCTGATGAATATTTCGAGGTGTTACAAACGGAATGACAAACTTAATATACACTCCACCAAAAATTCTCAAAATTGGTCACCTTTTTAGAATTTGTTTTCCTGTTACTCATCTTGGGAGCATAGGGCTTCCACAAAGTCCCGCCATATTACTTGATTAGTCGATGCTCGCTTTCTTGATACTTGGGGATCCCATTCTGGTTATGTTGTGGACATTTTTTCTTAAGGTGTGGCCAATCGATTTACATTTCCTACGTTTAATCTGCTTTTGTATGTGTTCCTGGTTCGTTAGGTTCATAAGAAACGTAGAGTTATGGAACATTACGAACCAGGAACTCCTTTTTAGGATAGTCCCATATAACTGTACCTCCCAAATTGTACCGAAAATAAAACAAAATATAGTGGTATCCAATAGGAATCATTTACTGCCAAAATTCGTAGTTAGTAATCGATACTTTAAGAGCATTAACATTTTTGGACGAAATTATCTTAATTGTTGAAACTCTTTTTGGAGGCAATGCTTTCGTCGCAAATTGTATGCCACTATCATCAATATTGTACCCCAGTTTTTTATCAAATTAAATTTATATTTTTAAATTCACAACCACAACACATTTACCATCGCATCACTGAATCGTCTATTAATATTATTGTTATGTCACAATTAACGTAAACTTACCAACAATGCCGGACTCTTCCATCGGCTCTATGTCCAGTTGCTTGGAGCCACATGGACACAATGTATCAACAACTAATAAAATAAGATTACTGTGTGGAATTTTCTGAACACTAAATGGACGTTCGCAGCCCGATACGTGGCAATTTGTCAGTTTACCCTAAAATCAAAAAAAGTTTTTTTTTTTTTGAAAGTTCAAGCAATAAATTATTCGCAAACAAACAAACCTTTAAGGGATTATTTTGGCCCCCTTGATTTAATCTTTCGGGCTGGAGCATATATAAGTCTGTACGTAAGTCGCAACGGCGAGCATTGGAAGGATCTGGATTTGAACGTGGTCCAACGTGAGGTTTATGTTGTTTTGGTGTTGGTGTGGTATATTCCTGCAATAAAACAAGAAACAATTATTAGTTTTATAGAAATATAGCAACAAAATCAAATTCATGATCCTACTACATCAGCGGTGGTAAAAAGTTCATCCATTTCTTCGTCAACGGGTGATATATAATCCTCTTCGAATGTTTCATAATCATCGGTATAGGTTGGCTCTTCAAAATTCTCTTCATTGTAAACATAATCATCGTGGGGCCATGCCTTAAGCGGTGTGGGCAACAGTGACAACCAAGTGGCACTCAGCGATAGTAGATACTTAAAGAACCACGAAGCAACATAGTGGGGTTTGGCACGAATTCCACAAGCTGTATAGGGATTATCGGAATTCGAACAGACACCTTGATAGTCATTTACTGTTACACGTTTATATATGCGGTCTTGCACCAGGGAATCCATTATAGTACCATCGATTTGTCCGAAGAATTTACCAGTATGTTCTGATTCTTCGGATATAATAACAAACCCATTATTATCCAATACATAACAGTCTAAATTATCCGATGCACAGGTACGTTTACAGCCTGTCATTCCAGTACACTGAATAGAGAAATGAAAAGTAATAATACTGAAACTTATGCAAATTTTCAAATTCCATTTAAAACATACAGCTGAGGTGATATTTATAAAATGTTTGGCCAATGAATCGTGTTGAAATTGTAAACCCACTACAGCTGCTGGTGCCTTATGGCCACGATGTTCCACAAATATGGAATGTGAAGCTGTCACTAATGTACCATTCGTTTTACCATTATATCCAGAACCGAATGGTACACTGTATACAAAACTATCCTGTTCGACGCTATGTTGATCTACTGCTCGTTTATACCAAGACATATCCATGGCTCGGGCATTTTCTTCGCTGAAGTGTCTGTTAAGCAGGTAAGGGAATTAATGAAGTAACCATTTTCAATAAAAAATAAAATATCTACTTACGGATCAGGCGAATCATCTGCTGGTTTAATGTGATCGATCCACCTCAAAAGGCCGGAACGTGTTGCAACAAATGAAGTGGTAACCACAAACTTTTGATAGCCTTGTCTGTAATGGATGAAGTAAATATGAATTAGTTTCGGGCATATAACATAAGTGGAATATCAAGTGCCTTCTGTAATGTTTTCAATACTTTGACATCACTTATATTGATGAAGATCTACAATGCCTTGTATGCAAATATGAATTGCATACATATTAATTATGGAAGTAGCCATACAAGGATTCATAATGAGTGGATTCTTGGGTGGATTTTAAAGTGAAGTGTAGTTTTGAGAGACAGGAGTCCGCCCTGGGCATACTAGCATTTACTTGGAAAACAAGTTTTGAATCCAAATTGTAATATACCACTGCGAATGGTTTTGGGACCCAAAGCAAAAACTTCCGATGTAATGAAAATGGATGGGATCATTATATAAGGTATATAACAAGTAAGTGGATCTATGGCAAAAACGTTTTCCAAGGATATCTTGCATTGCACTGGACAGCAGAAATAATTTGAAGGTTCCAACCCCACTGGAAATATATTAGCAACTTTTAATGGTCAATTTTCTTAAAATATCGGCACAATACAAAACCCAAAATTTGTCCCAACCCTCCATTTGGAGAGGGATGCCAATATTGTTAATTTTTGGTAAGGAGATCTGTTTCCCAATGAGAATCTTAAAACCAAATTAAAATCAATTCGGATTAAAAACATGCCCAAACTCATCAAAATACTGATACAAAGACTCTATGCACAATTTAAGCACACACAAATTCTAAGAACATCACGCCATCTACCGAAGGAAGTTCTTAGAATTTTATAAAGAGGACGGTTATTGTCACTTATGCCAAAAGTTCAATGTTTCTTGAAAAGTATATAACGTGGTTTTATTTATTTACATTGTTTTGTTGAAATAACTTTCTGATAATCTTAGGATGCGTATGTTAATTATAATGTTGCCAGTGCTCTTTAGTAGACTATAAATGATATTTATGCAAATTGCGGTTCAAAATTCCTAAATACGGAAATCACCACACCAATAACCACTTGAAATGAATTATACCAATTAACTTAGTTCAATACATGGATTAAAACCGATAAAAACGTCGCGTGCAGCACAATTATCTTGAACCTACTCATAAACTACTCGAAATATTTATTAAGATCTACAATTTTTGCTTTGAGATTAATTCCAAATTAAAGACTAGTAAGGAAAGTAGTAACGTTGGACGGACGACTATATGATACCCTTCACCACTTTGGGTATATTCAACACATGACTCCTAACAGACGTCGCATTTTTAAAGGACCAGTAAAATGAAATTGGATTCATAAACATACGCTGAGCCAAATTTCGTGCAAAGCGAAAGATATATAGGGACTTTGGTGCACCATTTACATTAAATCGGACGAAAATATATATGGGAGCTATATCTAAATCTGAACCGATTTTTTTCCCCAATTTCAATAGGGTTCGTCCTTGGGCCAATTGAGTGACCTATGCCAAATTTCATTCAAAGCGACCTGTACTTTGTTCACAAAAATACATTGACGGACAGACGGACATGCGTAAATCAACTCAGAAAGTTTCCTTTTGCCTGTTACAAACATATACACAAAGACATGATACTCTGTACCACAGTGTGGTGAAGGGTATAAAAAAGTATAGTCTATATTGCAAACGCATATAGTTTTATAATTGAACATTGCTATGTTTTCTAAACTTATTCGTTGTTAACTTTAGTTGGAGGTGCGAAGTGCAACGGGTCCAGCTTGTACAAATATAGATTACTAAATATTTGTATTTCATACTAATTTTGGTGTTTTTTTTTTTTTTTGTTTATATTTTTTAAGACATTTTAAAGCGCTTTACAGTTTTTCTTTGTAAGATTTCAATAATTCAATAATTATGATTTTAGGTAGGGGAATACCAAAATTACAGCCAACACTTCAGAGTCACATATATGACATAGCTGTTTGTATCTAACGAAATGTAAAAAGTATATTTTTAATAAAAATAATAGTATGTGTATAAAGCGGAATGCCAACTTCTGATTGGCTGTTATGTTGAATTTTAAGTACTGCCATCTAATTTTGCCATATTTACTAGATTTGCGTTCCCGAACTTTTCAAATTATTTTGTACCCTGAGGCGATTTATAAAGGTTTCCCTTTTACTAGCTTTACATTTAAAAATCTAATGGAACAGATCATTAGTTTTTCTCAAATATAAAGAAGCTATATGGTTTTTTGTTTTCTAACAAAAATATACTCTTAGTTGTAATTACAATCGGTGACTTCTAATTTTTATTTATTTTTGAGCCAAAAAATATGTATGTTTAAATAAAAAAAAAATTTAAATCTGGTATTGTGGACCACTATAAAAAAGCGAGCCCATATTTACTAGATTTGCGTTCCCGAACTTTTCAAATTATTTTGTACCCTGAGGCGATTTATAAAGGTTTCCCTTTTACTAGCTTTACATTTAAAAATCTAATGGAACAGATCATTAGTTTTTCTCAAATATAAAGAATCTATATGGTTTTTTATTTTCTAACAAAAATATACTCTTAGTTGTAATTACAATCGGTGACTTCTAATTTTTATTTATTTTTGAGCCAAAAAATATGTATGTTTAAATAAAAAAAAAAATTAAATCGGGTATTGTGGACCACTATAAAAAAGCGAGCCCACATAAAAAAAGAAATGGTAGTCCACATTATCCGAAGTTTCTCTACTATTCGCTTTATGTAGGGTATATACTTTTATGAAAGGCATGGCCATGTGTGGGGCGGTACCAGAAAGGGTGGAAAAATGGGTCCCACGTTCGGACTTTTGTTAGGTTTGCTGATGTATTACAATTTCCAAAGTTCGGATCAAAACGGACATTTCACTCGCTTGCTATTGGATTAAGAAATTTTCGAAAGTTGGACTTTTTTATGGCGATGGTACCAGATTTAGTGGATCTCATCTTCGGAATTGATTTGAAATGGATTAAAATACGACGGTGTGCAGAGTTTCGGTCAAATTCGACACTCCATTCGCTTAATATTGGATTTATAAATATTGCAAATATTGGCAATTTGGGAGGATGGTACTACAAGGAGTGGACCGATGGATTCCATCATCGGACGTGATCTGGATTTGATAAAAATATTACAATGTGTAAAATTCGAATGAAACCGCATATTCCGAATGGCATTTACAAGTTTTCAAACATAATTAACTTAACCTTTGTGGGGAGGTACTAGTCCCATCTTTCAACATGATGAAATATTATGTTGTGCAAAGTATCGTTTAAATTTGATATTCCGTTAGCATGGTAATATAAAATTAATTTTTGGCAAATTTTTGACTATTTTGTGGAGAAGATACCAGAGGATACCGATATTTTCCATCTTCGAACATGATTTATGTTTGGAAGAAATATTATGTTGTGCAAAGTATCGTTGATATACCTTTAGCATGATATTATAAAATTAATTTTTGCCAAGTTGGTGACTATTTTGTTAAGAAGATACCAGAAAATATTTTCCATCTTCGAACATGATTTATATTTGGAAGAAATATTGCGATGTGCAAAGTTTGGATGATATCGAATGTTATCGTGCGCAAGAAACAGACGGACGGATATTTGTAAATTTATTCCAAATTGTCTGAATCAATATTTCTATGAGGCACATTTTTGCCATAAGGCGGGATCGAATATGTTATGTCTAAATTTAAAGAATTTATTGAAGGCCAGATATGAAGGAGAGTTACCGATACAGAAAAATTTAAGCATACTATTTTATACATAAAAATTTCAACTAGTTAGAATCGATTTTAAAATATTGCTTCTATGTGAAATAATTTGAGGAAGATTTGGTAATTTTAAATATTATTTTTATTTAATGCATTTTTTTAACTTATTTAAAGAAACTATACCAAATATTGGTACGATCTATCCCGTTTTTCGTCACTTGCTTTATAGGTATAATTGGAAAACCGCCAAATCTAATGTAATTAGGTTGAATATTTACGATTTTGTAAAAGAGTGAAATTTGCGATGCCGTTTTATTTGAGAGGTATACCGAATTTGGTCCGATCTATCAAAAGTATTGTCACTTGATTTTTAGGGCAATAATGAACATTTGTATAACATTTAATCCATCTACGATAACTCCTACTTTTTGTGGTCGCCGGTAATATGAACTCGCGATATAGTGCCCTTTATTTGTCATTGCTTATA